GAAGCCGAGCGGGCGCGCCTGGAGTGCGAGGCCCCCCCCGCGTGCCTCGCGCGGCCCGGCGGCCGAGGCGCCGAGAGAAGTTCAGAAGCACCGCTCCAAGCTTGAGTCGGGCAGGTCCCTCTACAGGAGAAAAAGTCAAAATGGTCCAAACATAGTCTGGGGACGATGTTTCGGCTACAGTTCGACTATTTTTGACATACTGGTGCCTAGGTTTGATTGTTCCAAAATCCGCCTGTAGGGGGACATGCCCGACTGAACTCCAGGCTGGATGCGGCTGGGGGTCTGAGGTGGCCCTGCTCTGCAAGGCTCCTTTCGATTCCTCCAGTTCAATCCGGTTGGATTTCGATGGATTCCGATGCCGAGTCGGTTCGACTTCGGATTCCGATGCGGATTCCAAATTCTTAGTGCGGCCTTTTTGTTCTGCCGGTTTCCGATGATCCTCCCGACTTGGTTGTCGATGGCTGCCGATCCGATTCATTTCGATCGCCGATTCGGCTTAACGATTCGATTATGAGCTCTCCTGACTCTGGGAGGCTGGAAAGATCTACTAGATGTGTTCCGAGTAGATGGGGTCGGAGCATCGCGCCGCATGGCCGATGCATCGGCGATGCGGTTCGATGTGGAACCAGATTTTCTGCACGCTGGCGTCGCCGATGCATCGCCGACTGCGCCGATGCATCGCCGATGTATTGGCGATGCGGCGCGATCCTTCGACCCCATCTACTTGGGCCCCATCTAGGAGGCCTCCAGAAGAGGTTCGGGGTTCTGGGTTCGAGCAGTTTGTTGGCCTTCGTCGGCCTTTGGGGGGCCGACTTTCGGGCCCCGGGGCCAGAGGGACCCGGCAGTGGTCCCGGGATCGAATTCGAGCGGATTTGCCCTCATCCCCATTCCCAGACCAAGTTCTTCGATGTCCATCCAGTTTATACCCCCCGGCCGCCTTCAAACTTCAGGCTGCGGAGGGGCCCTCGATGTAAGGCTGTGACGTTGAGAACTTCAAGGGGGAACGCCGGAAGGCCCGAGAGATTTGAGAGTGTGGGGTCCGGGGCTTTAATTACGAAACTCTTCAGGACTGAGGACTAAGGCTCAGGGGATTGGGCGACGCACCCGAGGACACGCCCACTCTGTGTCCAGAGGCACAGTGGCGGATTATAGCTAGATCCAGATTGGATTGAACCCTGCTGAAGCTCGATGCAGCTCTAATCGAATCCGACCAAAGGTGGATGCGATTTTACTCGCATCGTAGTCGGGATCGGTCCCAGTCTTATAGAGTCCCCCTTCTGTCAGGCGTGTCTTTTTGGGCGGGCCGGACACTCAATGCATGTTGCTCGCTTGCTCGTTGGTCCTCTCTCTCGCTCGCTCGCTCGAGCAAGCGACTGGGACAGTCGGGCGGGTCGTGTCGGCCAGGCGGGACATTATGTAGAGTGTTCGCTTGCGCTCTTGCTTGCTCGCTCGAGTAAGCGAGCGAGCGAGCCAGGCGGATCTGGTCGGGCGGGTGGGACATGAAATGCAAGGTGCTCGCTTGCTCGCCCGCTCGAGCAAGCGTGCGAGTGAGCGAGTGAGTCGGGCGGTCGCTATGGGCGTTTGGGGTCATTACATGCGTGCTGCTCACTTGCTCGCAAGCTCGCTAGCTGGAGCAAGCAAGCGAGCGAGTGAACGAGGGAAGGAGGGAGTCGGTCCTCTCGCTCGCTCGCTCGCTCGAATATGCGAGCGGGAGAATCGGGCGGATCGGGTTTGGCAGACGGTACATTGAATGCACTATGCTCGCTTGCTCGCTCGCTCGCTTGCTCGAACAAGCGAGCGAGCGAACGAGGGAAGGAGGGGGTCTTCTCGCTTGGTCGCTCGATGTATCAAGTGAGGGTCTTCTCGAGCGGGTGAGACATTAAATGCATGGTGCTCGCTTCACTCGCTCGTTTGCTCGCTCGCTCGCTCGAGCAAGCGAGCGAGCTAGTCGGGCGGGTCGGGTCTGGTGGGCGGGACATTAAGTGCATGGTGCTCGCGTGCTCGCTCGCTCGCTTGCTTTCTCGAGCGAGCGAGCGGAGGGTCTGTGGTTCACAATGTATAATCCAGCTCAATCCCACTATAGTAAGACCTAGCTCTAATCGAATCCTACTTGGGCCCGATCCAGCCCTAATCGCAGCCTGCCAAGGATCGATCCTAGTCGTCGTCGTCTTCGCCGACGCCGTCGTCGTCGTCGTCGTCGTCGTCGTCGTCGGCGTCGTCGTCGTCATCGTCGCTGCCCAACGGCGACCGCGACGGTGCCGGCGCTCGCCGTCGTCGGTTGCGGTTGGGGCGTCCCGCTCCAGCCCCCACGCCCCCTTGCAACTCGGGGGGGCAGGGCCGGCCCCCCCTCCCCAGGTTGGGGCCCCCCGCCTTGAGAGGGGTCGGGGGGCTCCTTTTGGGTGTGGCCCTCCCCCGTATCCACACTTGCAGGTGGAGGGGCGGGAGGCCCCATCCCAGCTCGAGGCCCCCCTCCTCCTTGATGGAGGGCCCCCCTTTCCCCCCTCGCCCCGGGTCGAAGCCCCCCTTCCTTCCTTCCTTCCTGCGTTGAGCTCCCCCCCCCCCCGTTCGACCCCCAACCCCCTTTGCATTACTGTGGGCCCCCCCCAAAGGTTCGAACCCTCCCTCCCCTTCCAAGCGTCCACAAACGCACTCTTTCAGATTGTAGATGATGAGCCCCTGAGTGCAAGCATTGGTTGGTGAGTGTGCGCGTATTGCGAGCCTGGCGAAAATTAATCGAATGTTATGGTGCCAAGCTCTGGCCCACACGTGTATACCATGTATACAGAAGTTAGCCCCGTTTCAAACAATAGACAAAAGTGAACATTTATGTAAGCACATCCAACACAGCGTGATAATGCAGAGCCGCAAATAGATGTACAACAGCCATGAGGCATTAGTTATCACGCGCAGGCCGCGTGTGGAGCAGCCGTGTGATGTCCACCCTCCGTGCATGCAGACTGTGACCGCCACGGGACCAGGTCTGCGGTTGGTAGGCGAACGGGCTTTTGGTACTGCTAAGGCCTTACGGCTGGTGCCGCCGACCCTGGAGGTTTCGGCCCGCGACGGAAAAAGGAGGGAACGGGCGGGCCATGGACCCCGGGAGGGTGGTATTCTGACCCGGGACCACCCCCCAGAACCCCCCCCCCCCGAGACCACCCGCCTCCCCCCGCCCTCCGCGGGGAAGGGATCAAAGGGAAGGGGCCTCCCTTCGACTCAATGACAACGTTGCTGCATAAACGCTGTGGATGGGCTGGTGTATTTCGAACGGGCATTTGTTTTTTTTGGTGGGTCATGTTCTTAGTGCGATGCGCGTGACGATAGGCTCTGCGTTTTTGGATATTTCGACCTGTCTCTTAGCACTGGCCCGTGGGCCACGTCAGGAAACATGTGAGCGCATTTGAAGTGCAAGTGGTAAGCTGACGGAGCACGCGCAAGATTGCGTTGCAGTTCTGGGGGGGGGGGGCCCGCCTGTGTCTCCAAGTTGGTTCCTTTGCCTGTGCCCGACGCGGGCTCGACGCGGGCCCCCATCTCCCTCCTCCCCCTCCTCCCCCCTGCGTTCTCCTCGACCCTCCCTCCCTTCCTGCCCCTTCTTCTCCCCCTTTGCCGTGCCCCGAGTCCGCGCCCCCTTCCCTCGACAGTCCGTCCTCCTCTCTCTTCTTTTCCGGGCACCGTCCTCTGCCCTCCGTGCTCTCCCTCCGTTCTCATTCCCCTTCTCTCCTCCCTCCATCGGTCCTCTCTCCATCCCTCCCTTCTCTCCTCCCTCCATTCTCCTTCTCCTCTCTCCTCCCTCCATTCTCCTCCCTTCCTCCATCCTCCTCCTCCTCTCTCCTCCTTCCATTCTCCTCCTCCTCTCTCCTCCCTCCATCCCTCCCTTCTCTCCTCCCTCCATCGTTCTTCTCCTGCTCGCCATTCACCTCAAAGTTATTGTTGAGGCCTTACTCAGAAGGGGAAAAGCACATAGACACAATTCATCGTCGACGTCCAGGAGAATATGGGAAAGCATCGGCAGTGGGAGGGGGGGAGACAAGAACCCAGAGAATATAGGAACATATGGGGATGTGTGTATTTATTTGTGTGTCCTTGGGCCCCTTGGCTTACGGCCGTTGCCGCCGACCCTGAAGGGGGACGTCGACGACGACAGCGGCGGCGGCGGCGGCGACGACGACGACGCTGACGTGGGCTCAAGTCATCAGGGATGATTATTGGAGTCTTTTGGGAAGGCTCTCGGGGGCCTCTGGAGCCTCCTGGGGGGCCTCTCGGGGGTCTATTAGGGGCCTCCTGGGAGCTTCTCGGGGCCGAGGGCTCGAAGTGTCCGTTGGGATTCCCCGTTAAGGCACGGGGCCGTCTTGGGGGCCTCTTGGGCCGTCTTGGAGGCGTGTTGGGCTGTCTTGGGGTTCCCTTGGGATGTGTTGGAGCGCTCTTGGAAACCTCTCGGGGCGATCTTGAGGGCCTCTTTCGGCCGTCTTCAAGCGGCGGGAAGCGGAAAAGGGGAGAACGCCCAAATCTGTCAAAAACTTTGGAGAATCAGTGATTTTTGCCTCTTGGGGCCCTCTCGGGAGTGCCTTTGGAGGCCTCTGGGGGCGTTTTGGAGGGCAATCTGTGAGCGTGAAGGCGTTTTGGACCGATCGTTTAGCGATTGGGGGCCCTTTTGAACAGTCTCGGGGGCCTCTGGGGGCACTCTTGGCTTGTTTTTTTCTGCAGCCCCGGGACCCCCAGGGGATGAGTATCTGCCCCCCCCCGGGGCCCCTCCCCAGCCCCCCCTCCCGACGGGGGAGGTATTAAAGGAAACGGGTTTCCCTTCGATTCGATTGCTACAATGCAATGTTTTTCTCTCGCTGTCAGGCTTGAGGTGCAGGGAAAGGGAAGGGGGCGACGCAGACGACGATTGACGGCCACGACGACTCGAACAGACAAACCCCTCGCACACGCCGACAGCGTCGGCGCATTACTCCTTGTCCTACTCCTTTCCCCGTCTCCCACTCCTTTCATCTCTTCCTCCTCCTCCTCCTCCTCTTCTCTTTCATCGCTCGGCCATTAACGCACTCACTCGTCGTTCTCCTCCCCATTGCGAATATGTCAACAGTGTTTGAAAGCGTCCCCATATCTGGAATACTACACAAAGCCTCTTACCCCCCATCCGAGCGCGCCGAACATTTTCGAAAGCTCCCCTTCTCTTCCCTCTTCCTCTTCGGACCAGGAGCTCGGCTTCCTCTTCTCACGTTCCTCATCGTTCTCCTCCCTCTTTCTATCGTACTCCTCGTCATTCCCCGCCTCTCCCGTTACGATTCTGACTATTCGTGTCGATCCGACGCACGGTCCCAGCCGATCCGATGTCTTGATTCGATGCTGATGGATCCTGTCACAGCCCCGGAATTATGAGGACCTCCCCGTCCTCTCTCAAAGGGGGAACAGCGTTCCCGGCGGCGATACATTTATGATACATCCGCACTTTGGTATTATAACCCCAGGCTGGCGATTTGGTTGCCGATTCGACGCTGATTGATCGTGCCTTCTTCTCCGTAGCCAGTATGACTTAAGCCGCTCAGCCGCTTAAGCCACCGGCCGGGGCCTGCCAGCAGGCCTCGCGCCAGCCCTCGTCCTGGCAGGCTCACGCGGCGAGGTCGGACCAGGCCAGGACGAGGATAAAATGTTCCACAGCGTTCCCAAACGCTCTCAGAGCGTTGCGGAACGCTCTGACACGGCCACGGCGCCCGAGAAATCCTCCACAGCCGCCAGATCTCAGATTTTCTCAATTTTTCTCACCCAAAGTTATCCTCCTCCTGGCTCCGTCGTACGAGGGGCCCATCGCCAGCGATGGACGCGGTGGCGAGCAGGGCAAGCGGGTCGAAGGACCGGCCAGGAGCCCTGCGCAAGAGGTCGAACGGGGCCGTCGAGGAGAAGTCCCCGAGGTGGGACAAGAACGGCGTCCAGATCAGCCCGAAGAGCGGTGGCCACCACCTGACCTTTGCGGACCAGCAGGTCAGAGGAGGAAGAGGAACCCATACCACTACCCTTCGCCCGTGTTCGTCGTTTTTGGGCCCTCTGGGAGACCCTCGTCGCCACCGCTGGAGTCGCCTCGCGGAACGCACCCCGGGAGAGGTCTGGGGAGTATTGGCACCGGTACCTTCTGGTTCCCCCAGCAGGAGCGGGGGAAGATAGAAGTGATCCACGAGGTCAAGGCCTACAAAAACAACCACGGCGGTTGCACGTGCGTCGTCTCCTAATGCTGAGGCCCGCCGTTTGCGCCGCCCTGGGAGGACTCCAGCCTGGCCGTGGCCCTGCCCGTGTTTTGCCAGAGGTTGCACACTGGAACGCCGGCAAAGCCGCAGATGAGCGCAGCGCCTCTCGAGAACTTCGTCGCCATCCTCCTGCTCCGCGCTCCCCTCCCAATCACTATTCCCCCCTTTCTCTCCTTCTCCAGCCCCGCCTTCCTCTCCTTCCCCATCTGCTCATCTTCTTCATCCTCCCATCCTTCCCCTCTTCCCCCATATCCTGACCCCACCACTCCCCGCCTCCTCCTCCTCCTCCTCCTCCTGCGCCATGCCGCGGCATGGTTTTCGATCCTTCCAAGTCGGCCCAAAACATTTAGAACATGCCCCCCCGAACAAAAACCATCTGAAGTGAATTCACATTCGGTGCCGATCCGTTGAATTCTTGGACCGTAGAAGCCCCCCCCACCTTGTGGCGTCGCCACGCCATGGTATGTCAGGCTACGAGTACTCGTTTCTAGGTTTCCGCGTTTTTTTTTTCTGTTTGCAAAATGCTGCTCTCGTTGAAGCGCAGGCCTCATGTTCGGGCTACCGCTCGTTCCGAATCGTGCTGCCGCTGCATCGCTGGCATCATTTCCGCGCTTCCGCTCGTCCCGAATCGTGCTCCCATTGCAGCGTTGGCGTCATTATTCCCAGCGCCATGCCACGACATGGTTTTCGGTTCTTCCACATATGCCCCAAACTCTAGAGCATGGCGCCCCGAACAAACCATCGGAAGTGATTCTTCATTCGGTGTCGATACTTTTTTGTTTTGGGCCGCAAAGCCCCCCCCCCACTTTGGGGCGTAACTTCGTCATGCTATGTCATGCTATGCGTTGATCTTCAACACCATGCTATGCCGCGTAATGCTATGCCACGTTGCGTCATCCGATTGTGCGAATAGAGAGGAGATCTACCGTATGGTAAGGGATGGGAGGGAAGGGGTAGGACGTCAGATATGACGCGAGCGCACCTAGCTTGGCCTCCTCCCGCTCCTTCTACTCCGCCCCCTCCTCCTCACCTCCTCCTCCTTCTCCTCCTACAGGGTGCTTTTCGCGGGATACATTCCAGCCCATCGTGGTGCTTCCCTCACTGCAAAGATATGCTTACATGGAGATCCAGCCTGGTTACAGGCGACGGCGCCCGCTCGACAGTGGGCCAGTTCCTTGTGGAGAAGTTTGACAACCCCCACCTCCAGCCCGTCGAGCTTCCGTGAGCACATCCGAGTGTGGCTTTCTTTGGAGGCCCTCAACACTGACAGCGACCTGGAGCCCGAAAAATGGAACACCTCAAACAAGGACGTGGACATCGGATTCTCCTGAGCCTCCTTAGGATAGGCTGGAAGGCCATCAGTTTCCATCACTGGGCAGATGATCTTGGGCGCGGGGTAGATTTAATGTACACCTCCCCTGCTATTGTTTCAAGCCTGTTGCAGTCTGTTGTGCAAAGATCTAATGAGAGATGGCTTGCGACGGCGATCCCCTCCTTCGACGGCGATCGTGTGTCGGTTGACCCTCTTCGAGCCCCCCTCCGTTCGAAGCGAACCCCTCCGCGAGCAGAGTACTGGATCAGCACCTGCTTTTACCAGGGCTGCTGGACGGCTGACCGCCTAACAGACTCTGGATCTGTATCCGATGGCAAGTGTCCGCTGTGCGGACAACCTCATGCAGTTTTCCATCGCCAATGGGTTTGCGTTGACCCCTCAGTGGCGCAGCTGCGCCTGGAAATAGTCTCACAGGATGTAGTCGAGTTTGCCCGAGCCAGCCCGCCAGAGGACCATGCCGTCTGGTCGTGATTGGTGATTGCACAGCCGACGCCAGATACGTTCTTTCCTCCCTCGGCGGCGACTGACCCTTTCTTGCAGGACGGCGACGGCCTCCTTTTGTCCTTGAAGGAATGTGTGGGCCGTAGTGTTGACTGTGATGTAGTGGTTGACGGGTCACCCTCTCAATGCATCATTGCTGATTTGGGGAGGGCCAGTTTTGCGGCCGTGTTGTTGTAGCCAGGGCCCGTCTACAAAGTGCGGACCAGGATGATGGCCCCGATTTGGCCGAATTTGCGCCAGACGCCGCAGGCGGCGGAGAATGTCGGACTTGCCCCTGTGTGTTTGTTCACCTCTGGCCACAGTACCCCATACAGTGGTTGCAAGGGGGACTTCGTCCTGCACAATGCGTCAGACCAGGCACAGCTCGGGCCTAAGCATATGTTTACAGGTGTACGCCGAGCAGCTCAACAAGCTGCTGGATACAGTGCGGCAGGCGAGGCAAAGCACACGCCTGCCCATCGCTCGGAAGAGGTAGTCCTCGCGCTCGTTCCCATCGAGAAGCGCATTGCTCTAGCTAGCCAGGGTGCCGATCGCCTGGCCAAGCACGCCCTCTCCCTCCACCCCCAGGCTGCACCCGCCGACCTTGGGAGGCTGGATAGTCAGGCGCAGCTCCTCGGTTCCTGTGCCAGAATGCTTGAGATGGTGCTGCCCCTTTTTCTCCGAAGCTTGAGTTTCAAAGGGCGCCGAAGGCTGCTCGAACTCCGCGGGTGAACCCACCACCTGGCTGGCATGTGTGGGAGAAGCTGGAGTCGGGCATCCGTGTTCTGTGCCGCTGCTGTTTGTGGGTCGTGTTCGATAGCGGCGGAAGGCCCATCAACGGGTCTCGGGGGCCCTCGACGGCCCTGCGGCGCCTCGAGGGCGCCGAGTCGGCCCGTGGTCACACGCTGGGCTTCGCCGACTCGAACCGATCGGGCAACGTTTGGTCTTTTTTGCGGCGCCCGTTGTGGTGCGTACACGAGCCACCGATGCCACCTCTTGGGCCAACATTGTTCCAAGGTGTTGGGGTCTCTGGCGAAAGTGCCCTCGATCGCATCGGCCGTGGCATTCACCTTCACTACAGGCCAGATTCAGAGGGTGGCGGCTCGGTGTCACTAGCCTTGCCCAAGGCAGTGGTCCTTGCTGTCCCTGCGCCGTCCTCGGCTGGCATTGCACGACTGGTCGCCAACGATCGCTTCCGTGCGCTGGTTGAGGGGATTCGGGCGAAGGAGGCATCTCACGGCCCAGCTTAGTCGTGGATGCGCTGACACTTCTGCCCCCCAGGTCGTCGCGTCCTTCGTTTCCTCCTCCTCCTCCTCCTCCTCTTCCTCCTCCTCCTGGAGCATCGCGGGTCGAAGAAGGTGGGGGGGAGGGGTTGGGAGGGGAAGGGGGAGGAGGCGGAATGGACAAGGAGACGTTTGATCGAAGATCGATCAGGAATAGCGCGAGGATCGAGGAGGAGGAGGAGGACGATCAATGAAACGAGGAGGAGGAGGAGAAGGAGGAGGAGGAGGAAAAGGAAGAGGAGGAGGAGGAAAAGGAGCGAAGGGGATGAGCTAGGAGGAGGAAGAGGAGGAGGAGGAAGAGGAAGAGGTGGAGGAGGAGGAGGGGGAGGAGGAGGATCGAGGAAACGCAAACATTGATTGTCGCGCGTGGATAATCGACGGGTCTCGTTCCCATACACACATCGACGCGCACTGTGGCCAAATCAGGCAACATTGTCTTCATGCTCCGGAGGGATTGGCTCCCTCCGTGCCCACGTGGCATATCCACGGATTCCTAACCCATCTTAGCGTGCGCGTGCGAGGAGACGCGATAGGGCAGGAGTTGGAGGGAGGAGTATGCGGAGGGGGGTGACCTTCCTCCCTTCCCTCGTCCAGAACCCCCCCAGAGAGTTCCCGGGAGGACTAAAGCGGACCAGTCGCGCGATCACAGTCCCCGAGCTCCGAGGGCCTTGACCTCCCCGGTCCCCGATCAGCCCTGGCCTGGAGAGGCATTTGTCCGCATCCGCCAGCGTGGGGGCGAGCCGAGAGGACCGCTGGGCGCGTCGGATTCTGGGTGTTGTCAGGGAGGCCTTGCAGCCAAGACATTGAAGTCGGGCCCACTTTCCGCTGAGGAGGAGTGGTTCTTTTTCTCTGGCCGTTGCCTAGATCTGCGTCTGCAGGGGAACTCGTTCGTGGCCCGGGCCCGTCGCGGCCACACAGCGTTCCCTCCGTTTTCTCTACTCCGCGCTTCCTCCTGGTAGCACACGGTGCCTGCACTGCAGAGGCCGCACGGCCCCGCCCCGCAGACCACGAGGAGGAGAGCAGCTCGAGCGCAGAGGGGGCGAGGGGGAGGGGCCGCGGCGGTTATCTCACGCGAGCAAAGAGGTGCTGGGGTGTACAACCGGCCTGCATAGCAAGGATCGGCAACCTTCCCAAGGGTATTCTTGCATGCTTGCCCCTCCTCGGCCCATCCTTGGCCACTCGCTGGCTGCGCCCCGCTCGAGAAGCGTCGAGATGGGATTCCAACGCCTTTGCCCCCTCATCGTGCGTCCTATACTTCACGCGAGCAACGAGTCTCCTCCTCCTCCTCCTCCTCCTCCTCCTCCTCCTCCATCCTTCCCTCCTGCCCTCTGACTCCTCATCCTCCACCTCCTCCGGGGGGAGCAGGCTGCGGGGAGGGGGCCATCGACCCCCCACCACCGCCGATGAGGGCCTGGGTGGTCCACCGCCGCCAAATGAACACTCGGCTCCCACCATCGGGGGGCTGTTCTGCCAGCGATGCCTCGGCGATGTATGTCGTTGGTTCCGGCGCGATGCTTCCCCGAAGTCTGGCGCCTCTACAGGACGGAAGTCAAGGATAGTAGCAACATGATCATTTGGGGACGATTTTTCTACTCTTTTGGATGATTGTTTGAGGAATGTTTGCGCATTGTCAATTTTCCTCCAGAATCCGCCTATCGAACATGCCCGACCTTGCTTCCCCCCCGAAGTCGGCCTCCCGCTTTCGACCCCCCGTCGATCCCGCCGGGCAATCGAACATCGAACATCGTCCCCCCCTCGATATGGGTGTCCCCCTTTTCTCGCGGAGCCTGTTGAACCTGGATGTCCTGCTTGCCCTCAAGGGGGTGCGAGAAGGCATCCATGCTGATATGCACCGCTGCTGCCCAGAGACCTACTGCGGCACCAAAGGGCTGTCCGACGGTCCAGTCGGCACGGCCCGGCGGCGAAATCCGAACCTTGCCCTCGCCGATCAACGATGCACGATGCAGGCAACTCGACGGGCGGCGGGGGGTTCCAAATGACTCGAACACGTGGCGAAATCCGAACCCTACCCCCGCTTCCCAACGATTGAGTAGAACCGATGGTTGGTGGGGGCAGGGTTCGGATTGTGCCACCCACCGGCTGCGCCGCAGCGGGTTGCTTCCGTCCCCCAACCCTTGGCATAGCAGAGAGAGGTGTTTCGCCTCGCTCTGGGACCGGCAAGCATCTACTCGATCAGTCAGTACGGGAAGCCAGCCCCGGGAGGGGGCCCACTCCTGGGGACCCCATGTTGGACAGAACACGGAGTCGCATGTCGGTGCCACTCCTTTCTGTCTCTTCCCTTCTGGCCCTCTGGCAAACGCGACCGGGGGCCCTCGGGGCGAAAAGTAAATGGAACATCTCCAGGGAAGTCTCCAAGCGGCGCTTGGGCACTCCAAGAATCTCTGGAAAATCTCTGGGCTGGGAACTATGCGTCGAAATCTCTAGACAAGTGCCGCGATGCAGGAATCTCTGCGGAAATCACAGGGCGGACAAAACAAACGGGGAGTCTCCGGAAAATTCCCGCTGCGCTGAATTCTCTATCGGGGAAAACAAACTTCAATATTTGGCTGATCTATTGGTGTTCAATGAAACTATCCAGAACTCTGTCGGGTGGATCTCTGGAACTTGTCCGAAACATATCTGGAAGATTTCGTGGACATCTGTACGTCGCGGAGAATCGTTTGATATTCGAGGGCAGATCTTTTTGATGGTCGATTCGCGGGAAGTTTTAGATCGGAGATTCGCCAGGAGGGCAGACTTGTTTGCCACAATCGGCCCAGTATCACTCTTGCAGCGGCTGGCGCTTGATGTCTTGCCCACGTGCTGTATTGCATATGGCTGTTGAGTGAGTGGGTGCTGTCGGTTGCGTTTGTTCGATCGGTTCAGTTTGGTCGCTAGTTGCGTCGTTGCCGCGTCGTTGCGCCAACCCTGGCTTTCTTATGTAAGCTTATGATATTTCAACCTACTTTAGCCTGGACGACCAGAAAGAATTCGGAGCACCAAGGAAGCACGGAGACTGGAGGGTTTTCACGTGTGGGGCCCCCGGAGGCGATACTCGTTCGACACTGTTTCGATACTTTTCTGGGTGCTCGAAATTATTTATTGGATGTGGTTCTTAAGTACGACGGGAGCAAGATAAGTGTCAGCTTTGAGTTCGCTCCCGTTTCTGCTGCGCTGCCGGTGTTGGCGGTTATCGGTCGCGCTGTCTCCGTGGCCGGCCTTGGACACTGCGCAT